ATAATTCAAAGACACATTTTTAATTAATGACATTAAATGGACAATAAAAATGGAGTCCTATTTAAAATATTTTACTTTTGATTCTAAAACAACATAATAACCTCAATGCTTATACCAAGATATCTATATCTGCAGTTAGCTGCATTAATATTCACAAACAATTCCTCAAAATAGTGACTGCTTGTAAGAAGTTTGCAACAGATTTACAGTAAGCTGCCATTACCTGTTGCATCTTGCTTAAATATTCTCATTTGCATATTTTTGGCAGATTCAACAGATCATTTACTTATTCCACTCAAAGCCGTGATCCGAAATCACGTTCTTAACGACTGAAGTCCTCTGTGAAATATATTATTTCTGATCTTCTGATGACTTATAAGAGAAGGCATGGAAATGCCTGAAATGCACAGCATGCATATAAACACAACAACACAAGAAACCAGATTCTGACATACATGTACACACATGTCTACAAGCTTGAGGTTTTTCCATTATGAGTAATTGTCACTGTGACAACAGGCTATAAACTCTTTTCCTGTCTTCATTAAAATCTGATTACGAATGAAAAATTACCCCCCCTCCCCCCACAAACACAAACATAGACATATACACTCGCACCTAATAACGCTATACTTTAACAGACAGGCAGGCAACACTTCACTCCATTGTATCCGTCTTTAATTTCAAAACTGTTCCCACCAACTCGTGTGAACAGACAAGGCTTAGCAAAGTGTGTGTGTGTGTGTTGTGTGTCTTGTGAGCTGAGAGGACTGGGGTTAAGCGTCCACTCCGCAGACAAAAGCCAAACTCTCTACAGCACTGTGACCTAGGAAACGCAGAGCTCGGTAAACACACACACGCAGACACACACTCTGAGATGGCAAACAGTTTGGCTTGTCTAGGGTTTGGTGTGCGGATTAAGCAAGAAAACCTCTATGATTTTTCACCCCAAAAACTCGTGGCACATTTCTCAAGAAAACCACACAGTCAAAGCCATATTTAAAATCAACTAAGCGTGTGTGAACCCAAAGCCACCGCTAACAGACATGACAGGAATATGAAGACGTCTGCTGGCATATTCACATATTCAACCTCTCACTTTGTGTTTAAATTTCTAATCTTCTCACAAAGCTGTTCTCATAACATAACGTCATTGTTCCCAGAGACTTCATAATGTTATGCTTTGGCTTGCAAGCCCTGTAACACAAGAAGGCCTGATCATTTTAATTCATGATCTGAGGTTAAAGCTGTAATTTCAGCGCTACAAATATTATTGCAAAACATAACAGAATTACAAATATGACGGGTTTTTTTTTAAACAGGCTTCTCAAACACTCCCCTCATCTGTCATTGGTCTGTTAAACAGGTAGTCCCGCTCCAAACTCACACCATTATTTCAATGTTCTTTGGTCGGGCTGGTCAGGATGCTACAACAGAAACGATGAAACAATGTTTTGATAGTACCTCAGAATATCTTCTTTTGTGTTCTGCAGAAGGTATAAAGTCAGACACGTTTGGAATTACATGAGGATGAGTAAATGAATTTTCATTTTTGAGTGAACTTAAAAAAAATACACTTCAGCTGTACAAAGTGATGCCAAATTTGTCATCTGTACATCCACACATTTAAGAATGTTGATCAATGTCTGTCAACATCTTGTAATATTAAAATTAAAATAAACTAACACAGACAATTACCATTGTAAGGCATTTGATTTGACTTAATAACCAGTGACTGGTTAAATAAAAGCCACACAGAGACGTCACAAACTGAAGAAATTCCTTCGGTGGTCAGAAACACCCACAAACTCACTTTGCAAAGTTTGCACAGTGTGAAACAGCACTAATGGTTACTGGATGAGGGATGATGGCTACATGACATGACAACAGTAACCGTAGCAACTATGAGCGGGCATTTGGACCAACAGATATGCTTGCGCCAGCTTGACAAGTAATGATCTGAACCCTCCAATCGACCCCAGCATCAAAATTACAATTAAGACAAGACACAAAAAGCAAAACCATTATTTTTTCGTGACTGGTCAATTTTAATTATATTGGCTATATTGCTTCCATAACATGTCTTCTTTCAGAATATTAGAAAGAAAACATCAAACATACACATTTAAGTGCTTATTTTTATAATACTTTTAAAATTGTATGTATATTTAAAGGTTGTTTTCTCAAAATGAATGTTTTGCCACTTCAGTTGCACATTCACCAAACTCTCCTGTTTTATTCATATCTATACTCTGAAGGTTTTAGAGTTTGTACATATTTAAGTTGCCTGATTCATACATAACATTTTATTCCAAAAAACATGATGAAAATGTATATATATATATACTGTATATATATTTCAGAAAACATGTAATTCAAAGTAATTGTCTTAATAAGTATAGTGATATATCACTATACTTCCCTATATACATTAAGACAATTACTTTGAATATAATAGTTAATTTTTACCCAATTAACCTCTCTTGCCTTTATTTCCAAGATATTATCCAATCTAAACTCTCTATTCTCTCTATTTCTCTGTTTTTTTCCTCACTCCATCTTTTTTTTATTGGTGTACCACTCTCATTTTCAAACTACTGTTGGGTTTTTACAGAGTTCTTAATGGACTCTCAAAAATCTGACCAATCTCTCTCTCTCTCTCTCTCTCTCTCTCTCTCTCTCTCTCTCTCTCTCTCTCTCTCTCTCTCTCTCTCTCTCTCTCTCTCTCTCTCTCTCTCTCTCTCTCTCTCTCTCTCTCTCTCTCTCTCTCTCTCTCTCTCTCTCTCTCTCTCTCTCTCTCTCTCTCTCTCTCTCTCTCTCTCTCTCTCTCTCTCTCTCTCTGCCTTTATGCTGCTCATTTTACTTTCTTTCTCACCCCTTCAAGTCTCTTTCTTCTTCCTTTCCCACTTTCTTTCTATCCAAACAGACACAGCTGTGACCGACCTGCTGTCCGTGAGAAATGTTATCTGAACGTTCACTCCAACATAACCAATGTTATTCAAAGGTTTTCAAACAGGCCCGGCCTCTGAGGAGACAAAAGGCAGAAATACTTCAGCCGCTACTGTGGCAGCGGCCGTATGCGTGTAACCATAACTCATATTCACACAGACACACACACAAACATATACGCGCACACACACGTACAGCAGAAGCCGGGGTCACTAGGGCACCCGGCAAGATGAACAAAACAAGCTCTAGAAGGTTCTGTCACCCGCTACCAGACCATCCCCCTCCAAAAAAAAAAAAAATCACACACAGTCCATCCAGACACATTAACGTCAAACCTGATCAGAGGGACAGAGGGAGAGGACAAACACAAACGAAACCCAAAAGAAAGAAAGAAAAAAAGAAAGAAAGAAAGAAAGAAAGAAAGAGAAAGAAAGAAAGAAAGAAAGAAAGAAAGAAAGAAAGAAAGAAAGAAAGAAAGAAAGAAAGAAAGAAAGAAAGAAAGAAAGAAAGAAAGAAAGAAAGAAAGAAAGAAAGAAAGAAAGAAAGAAAGAAAGAAAGAAAGAAGGCGCATAAAAGAAACAAGGGATGAGAAAACAGGAAAAAGAGCAAAATAAAGCAAAACGAGATAGACAGAGTGACGAAAGAGGCCAGCAGATAAAAGCTGCACATGTTAGCCACAGATGTAGACGAGCAGAGATAATCTAATGAGGAGTGAACACTGTGTGTGTGTGTGACATCAAATCAAATAATATTATCAGAAAGTATTATCCACTAGCAGTGCTTCCTCTTTTTTTCCTCATTGTCTTTTCCTCTCTCACACACACCTGCTACCATCTCGTTGAAATTGAATTGACAGAACAGAAAAATCCTCCCTAAGAGTCATAAAACCCCATATGTGAGCGCACACACTTTTCATTTGACTTCTATTGTTTTTTTTATATATATATTGAACTAGTGATATTTACTATCCCTAACCCTCATACAAACCATTCTGCATTTTTACATTTCCATTAAAACCTTATTTAGGATGTTGTCTATTGGCTAGTCCCCCAATGTAGTTGATTTCAGGTTTTGTTATCCCTGAGGGCATATTTGGTCCCCATAATGTAGGCAAACCTTGACCTCTACACACAACCACAATCTGATGCTTTTACAAAGAAAACAAGTATAGGTTCTGTACATTCATTAATCTATTTCTTTAAGACTTGATTTTAAGCCCAGCATTTTACTTTCGGTCTCACAAACACACACACACATGATAGTTGAGACTGAAGTTCCCAGAGTATTTTTAGGAGACCACACACACAACCATACCAGGTCTAATACATGAAGAGTGGCTGTATGCTGGCAGAAACATGAGCGATATGTGCAGCACACACACACACACACACAGACATTTGCTCCATCAACCTCCTGCAAACTCCGTTAGAATGTTGTTTTTCCTGGTAAAGCAGTTAGCGCTCGCCATCCTTCCTCTCACTCTCTCTGAGCAGCAGATGTTTAAGTGTGTATCTCCTTTAAACTCAATTTAGTCTGTTCATGGTCTGAACCTCCCTTACTGCTGATCCCTAGATGTCCAGCATAACTCAATTATAAGCACACACACGTACACACACATACACTCCGGTCTGAGGGTAATGAGAAAGATTAAGAACAGAGATCCCAAGATTTTGCTATGTTTATGCTGTTATTAATCTCCAAATTTCATGTCACTATATTTTGGTATTAATAAAAAATGTATTAAACCAAAATCTACAAATCAAGTGGAACATTAGAGAACCAAAAAGGAACATTTAAGAAGTCATCTTGGCAGGAATGATCTCAAATCCAACTAAATAAATTCATGAAAATGTACCTAAAATAAGTAAATAAATTTGCAACAGTTTTATTAATTAATAAACTTTTGAAAAGAGACAAAAGTCCCATTTTGAAAAAAAAAAAAGGCTAAGAGGAACAAAGAGAGAAACTGTAAAGAGGCGACAAAAAGAAAGGGGGTGAGAAAAAAAAAAACAGGGAGAGGAAAGAGAGGGTCTAAACGATAAAGGACTCACAGTCTGAAGAGTTTAGTCGTGCCCAGAAACAGCAACTCCGGAAGAACCTGAAGATTATTCCTGTTGAGACGCCTGCAAACACAGACACATGCAGCAACATGAAATACACAAAACACACAGCGGTGCAGTTTATACATTCATGAGAGCAAACTTCAATGGCTGTGAGGCACCAGAAAAAGTATATGATGTGCATCAGACCTTAAACTGTGTGCAGAAAGTCTGCTATAACACGAGTGGATTTCAGCTCGCAAAACCTACTGGATTTATCAAGTTCTGAAACAACTGGAATAATGCACCCTAGTGACAGACTCTAGAAAACATCAGAAACATCAAAAAAATATGAACACAATAAATATCATGAATATATTCTACATCAGTTAATGTTGACAGAAATATGCCCTGATTGTGTTGCACTTAAGAAAAATCCTTTGTACATTTAATGTTATAAAATATTTCAATTCGGGCCTGTCAGCCGTCAACTTGAGCCTTGACTGTGTGTGTGTGTGTGGGTGTGTGTCTGGCAGACAGTGTCATTGTGTGGGGGCATCTAGCAAACACACACAGACAAAGAACAGCCCGGAAAAACAGATGTGGGAAAAACAAACAGAACGTCTCACACAAAGTGAAGCGAAAGAACTTACAGTGCAAACACACACACACACACACACACACAAATAGACACACGCAAACACCATGAAATAAAATTATGCATATTTGCTTTTTCCAGCGACAATTCAATGATAAAAAGTAATTTCTCACCCTTCTTTGCTCTAAATTTCCTGGCACATTAATAAACTGAGTAATATTGCCGTCTAGTGCATGTATAACAGACGTTATGCATGACAATCAGCACATATAATATCCACTGCGCATATTAATGAAGAGTGGCGCCAATGCTGTCTGTGCATTAGATTAATGAGGCTTGAGATTAATCAATAATGTTTTTAGAGCCAGAATACAGATCGTTCAGAGCAGCCTATTAAGCATCAGAGTTTTGAGACCTACTAAAATGACATTATGAAGCCTGCAGATAATAGGAAAATGTTAAAATAATACAAAAGCCCAATCAATTTTTGTACTCTTACGTCAGCATGCGAGATTTACCACACATCAATCAAACAAGCCCAAGTTCTAAAGTGAACTCTGCCTCCACAAAGTACAAAACCATCAAGCTCTCACTCTCCCTCTGTTTTATGCCCTCACTTTCTCTGACACACTCTCGCAAACACTTGCACACTCAAACATCGCAGCCGATGACATCATCGTTGAGCTTCTGGGGTTACATCATTCCATTTGAATATTTAATGAATGATGAAATAATAACGAGGCACACAGTGCTGCACACTCCAGAAATGCCCACGTGTTTCACTCAGGCACAGAGGACAGCCTTCCCTGAGGACCCCGCAGCGGAAACACACAAAGACACACGGTGCTTAAAGCGAATAAGATCGACCCTTAAAATAGATGAGTACACACAGACATACACACTTACAGATAGAAATGCACATAGCCAGACTCTGACACACACAGACATGCACTCACAGTCATTTCCAAGGAGGGCTATAAAGTGAGATGACTTGCCAAAAAACAGGCAACAAGACTGAACAGAGGAAAGTATGAATTGAAAGTTAGTGTGAAGACACACACAGCTACTGTAGCGCAACACAGACATGATCCACAATCAATCACGTATAGCATATGACATAAGTTTATGGCTTAGTTTATAAATTAGTAGGCTCAGACAGGCCGCCTACAGTCTGTACGCTGACAACCTGATGCATATTGCACACAAAACTGGAAAGCACTGTCTTCATTTGGCAAGCATCAATCTGATTGACTGAATCTGTGCAACTTCCTTATAGGTACACAGTGTTTATCAGTCCAGAAGGAAACAATGTCTGTTACTTACTGGGCCAATCTAATGAGTGCTTTTGATGATCAAATAATAGTTTACTTTCCTGAACTTTTCCAAAACAGTTTCATTAAATCTTTGAGAAAGATATTCAAGTTTAATAATGTTAACTTGATATCCACAAGCATTATTTCTGTTAAATTATCAGTCATTATGCCATTTTACAATATTTTTTACAGTTTTTCCTGAACAACTGTAGCCTGGTATTACAAAACTCGCCAGCTCAGCCGCATTGAACTTCCACTGTAAACACAACCGTCGAGTGAAATACCGGAGTGATAGCCTGGGAAAACCCAGACAACTTCCAGTAAATTTAGATTTGCTCTGAAAGTTAGTCTGGCAAAGAGCTCATTCAAGCCCATTTCCAATCCGTCGAAATCGAGGCACCAATAAGAAACGTTGGGCCGGGCTTTACACGATGACGACAGTGCTGGGATTTTGAAGCAGATTTTGTAGCCTACATTACAATGGATGTCGCCGTCGAACTTCACTCGTTCAAATCAGCTATCGCGTCTGTTTTAAGCGATTTGAACGTTTTCTTTTAGTTAAAACCCGAGCAAAGAACAACACTCGGAAATGTTTCTCCGGCGTTCACGTTATCTCCTTCATCGCTCTGATTGGTTTTAGGTTAATCCGCGACGTCCGTTGGTGACGCCCCTCTGGAAATGATTTGTCTATGACACTTTGCCAGACCATAACTCAGTTACAACTGAGAATATTCTGGTTTTAACCAGGCTACCGGAGTGAATATGGCTGACTGTGTTTTGATGCCTCCTTAAAGGATTAGTTCACTTTGAAAAAAAAAAAACTTTTGCTGATAATTTTTTCGAGTCATTTCGTTCATTTTGTTTGTTGAACAAACGAAATGACTCGAAAAAAAGATTTGTTCATTTGGATGAACGAGTTCGAACAGGAGAGTCACAAATGCTCATCACAGAACAGAGCAAGGCGATTTGTGCTTATAAAACAAACTTTTTTTTTACTTATTTCTGAAATGACCGATCGTTTGCTAGACAAGACCCTTATTCATAGTCTGGTGTTGTTTAAAGCCCTTTAAAGCTGCACTGAAACTGTCATTTGGACTTGAACCGTTTTTACCCAATGAAGTCCATTATATGGAGAAAAATCCTGGAATGTTTTCATCAAAAATCTTAATTTCTTTTTGACTGAAGAAAGAATGACATGGACATCTTGAATGACATGGGGGTGAGTAAATTATCAGCAAAAGTTTTTTTTTTTGTTTTTTTCCTTTAACCTGTTCCTCCATAAGTGCAACCAAGGGGCACACAATCACAACTATCGCCTTGCTGGCCTTTGGCCTGCCCAGTTTCATGCTGACGATCAGTAATAGTTGATAAATTAAACTTTTCCCAAAATCTGTCGGGAGTAAGACCACAACATCACATCCATTCAAAATGTTTAACAAACACTCTTCTTGTTCGGGTTTCAGTTTGCAAATGCCGGGAATATTCTCCACAACAGAGCGAATTGCATCCCATGTCTCCATATTCGTAGTCGTTTTCGATTTCCCTAACATAATACAGTCTTAAACTTAGTGCTTAGCGTCTACGTCACGGCTCTCAGTCCGCACACAGTTCATTGATTGGCCGGCTGTTTTCAGGCCAGAGGAAAACTGAGAGACACGTCCATGTCTCATCTGAGTACAGAAGCGAACTGAAATAGAGTGGAAATATGAAGTCTTACGCAGTCAGGCTAGAACAACTGTTCATCGAGACAAAAATATTATTTAATTTTTTCAACCAAGTCTCTTTAGATAACCCCTAAATACCACGTAAAAACTGTCTAAGTGGCCAATTCTAACTGTCATTAGCTCATAACCAACAACTAGCCCAAAACTGTGTGTGATTGTAAATAAAAATAAATAAATAAATAAAGGTTTGAGGAAAAGGAACTGCAGAAACATGCAGGAAAATAAGGATTTCGCTCGTTCGCTCAAGTCCTTCTCCATAGGCTTACTTTACCTGACTGCATTGCTCATGACTAGCAGGCCATGACGAAGGGCGTTTGTGCGTATGTGTGTGTGTGTGTCATACGTGGAACAGAGTCTCCACTTTTCCTCCCTACAGGAGGTCGTCACACCCAATACCTATATGCATCCCCAATACGCATACACACACACACTCACACACATATTTATGAAGGGCCTTTGGTAAGGGCATTATAATGCCTGTGCGTTCTAATCCTCTCAGCTATGCAGTCACCCTCCAGCATTAGACTCCTGCTTTTGTACCGGCACAGTGGGACTGATCTTACACACTGACTTTAGCTGTGCTATTCAACACTACCGCTAGCTCCTCTATCCCTACACTTATCACTATAAAGAGCTATTCATCGCCACCATTCGCCCGCCTAACCCTTCAGTTATGCCAACAGTGCACAATTTATGCCGAAAGAAAGTTTGCTATTATTACAAGCTATTACCAGTTAGCTGTACTCCGATTTATGAGCTATGTGTTACTGCACAAAGCCACATTCACTGTTAATGCCATTGACCCTTTCGAACCACACGCAGCTAACACAAACCCTTTATAAAACTAAAGTTACCATACTTGTGAGTGAAGCCTAGTTGGCATAAGCCTTTTGTGGTTCAGCTGGGTTGGTTGTAGTCATTAAACATTTCCCACCAAATTAAAAGGTAATGACTAGCAGAAAACTAGGATAGCATTGGGCAGGTGATTGACTGAGCCTCAAGCGGCACAGCTCTAAATGCCAGCTCTAATGTAATTGTGCATGTAAACTGAACATCTGCCAGTCACCATTAAGAGGAGGTAATTGACAGTCAATCATCTTAAATTAGATACTGATTCTACAATCAGAATCTAGACAGCAACCATGATCATTCAATAGCATAGATTCGTTGTTAAGCTCCTCTCAGGAGAGAAATGTGGTTTTGTGGGAAATTTAAGATCCGCATAGCCTTCATTCATTGTATAATGCATCACTTTACTGCACAATAATCTTTATTTTAATTGCAATCCATTATTAATTGCTAATTCACCCTGGGTTCAGTTGGGAATTTCAAACGAGTTTTTAGAATTTATGAGTAATAGAATTGGAGTGTCTTGTGCAGTTACTTGAATAATGATCAGTAGTGAACATTATTTGAAGAGAATATGATCCCACTTTATATAAAGTGTCTTTAACTATCTAGGTACTGTGTACTTATTGTGTTCATGTGTTGCAAAATATGTTTGCTGCTACTTAAGTGGGATATGGTTATGGCTAGAGACAGGTTTGTGGTATGGTCAGGTTTATAGATGATATAAAGAGTAGGGTCAACAATGTAATTATAGATGTGATTACATGCAGGTATTTCTTAAAATATGAGTACAATGTACAACTGTATCAAATACAGTGCATCAAATGATTAATTGAAATGTTAGTAGATAGTAATTAACGGCACTTCATATAAAGTGTGTCCAAGAACTGTTTTATACAACGCAGTTTATACACAGTTATACCTCAAAAATGAATTCAAAACAATTGTGTGTTTTAAAAGCACAAGTTGCTAATAAGTTGCTACACTGAAATACATTTTAACCTAACCATTTGCATGTTATACCGTGAATTTATTCAGTTAAAGAATATTTTAATGTCACTAAACCAAACTAAATACATTAAGCTATCCCAACAAAACAAAATTTAAGGTTTCAGGAATGAAATTCTTACAGTCAGTTCTGTACAGTTCAGCAAATACAATGAATTGAGGGACAAATCGGACAGCCATAGCAACTTGTTAACCACAGACCTTATTGTACTTATAAAAGAAATCTGCTTGGTTAGAGAAAGAAAAAAAAAACATTCGGATTTCCTGAGAGAACCCATGGCTCAAAAATGCTAATTACATTACGTGACCCTTCATTATTAATTTGTCATACTGGTTCATATCATATAATAATAAGGGAGATCTGCAGTACACCAAGTGCACCACTTTGAACTAACAAAACTTAGATTTTTGTCTGAGTCTGTGACAAAGAGATAGAGGCCATCAGAATGAATATGTTTGAAAATGGAGAATAGCTGGGGGGGTAAAAGCTTGAAAGAAAGGATGGGATGGGGGGGGGGGGGGGGGTTCCTTAAGAGCGTAATTCCCATTTCCATTTCAGCTTCCAGTGTCATTCTCTTAAAGGGCTGTGTGTGCCAGAGTTAGTTGCGCATGTGTGTGTTCCCCTGAGGCTGGGTTGGCTGTCAGACAAAAATGTTGCTCCATCAAATCCTGACCACAATGCGCGAACTCACACACATGCCCACAACATACAATATCCACCATTAATATACGAAAACACACACTTGATTGTGTAATGCCATTTTATAAGTACATTGTACTCAGTAGGTCATACTTTTAATGTTAACTCAAATATACACTGCTGACTTTAAGCCAGTGTAGCATATCTTGTGTAGCGTGTGTGTGTGTGTATGTATGTTAGTCACTCACAGTCTTTCCAGCTCTTTCAGCTCCTGAAATGCCCCTCTCTCAATAGAACTGATCTTGTTCTCCATTAGCTGCCTAAGAAAGGAAAAGAAAGAGAACGACCGAAATAAAGATAAGTCACTCATTGCATGAATTTCAATGATTAAAACAGTTATGTCTATGCATACTGCATACTTGGCACTTTTACAGAGACCCTTTCACATGTCAATGTCCACAAATAACACCATTTAACAGTATATCTCACAATCTGAGACCCACCTCTCATTATAAAACCACCGTAAATAAGAGCTTTCAACCCCAGTCTAAATACAACATCTATACTTAGACTATGATTTGAAAAACAACATAATGGCACCATTTCCTTCAGCTATGCTGGCCTACAAAAGCAAAACGCCTGTCAAAAATGAGTAAATTGGCTCAAATCGGGTCTCTTAGACTATGATCTGTCCTGTCAGGTTTGGCTAAAATATGCTAAAAGAAAAAAAAAGAGTGTGAAGATTCATATCAAATCATTCAATCAAACAACACTGCAATTTTTTTTCTCAGTTCCATCTTTGGTGCACTAGCTGCATTTTGCATTTTTAAAGTACCCAGGTGACCTTTCATATGTACACATTTGCAGTATGGGAATTTATAACCAGTGTTGTGCAAGTTACTTCCAAACTGTAATACATTAGGTATTACTTGTTACTGTTATTTAAAAGTAATTTATTACCTTACAATATTACTGTCTCAGAATTGTAATGCGTTACATTACTCATGTATTACTTTTGAGTTACTTTCACCAAAATAACTAAGTAGAACTTAACTTTTGGGCTGTAACGATATGCAATATGAAACCGAAATCTTCCAACTCCCAGCGTTATTCTCCTCACCGTCCAGATCCAATGCTGCCTTATCTTTAAATTAGGCTATTAGTATTATTTGAAGTTAACATTATAAAATACGTAGACCTACACCACAAAACTAGTTGAGGATAAATTATTTAAAATTGGGGAAGTCCAGCATTATGGACATGACATTTGCAGTCAAAACTTGAAATAAAAATTCTGCGAAAATACATGTATTGAAACGTATATAGGCTACTTCCTTAAAGGACTCCAGACATTAGACAAATATCAGTCTATGTTTTATTTTTAATATATAAGGGAAAAGACACACATTCATACGTGACAAAAAAAATAGGAGGCAAAATACATTTTTTGTAATTCTGTTAATTACACTGCGCAAATCGGATGAGGAAGGGTTGGCTCTCCAGTCTCCATAGAACTTAAAATATTCATTTTATTTTAGTTTCGTGTTCGCATTTATGAGGAAAAAACAATGTTACAGACGCGACCGCTCTGAACTGGCACTAAAAGACTGCTTTAAAACTTTCACACAGTCTGTTGCCTTTAAGAAGTAAAAGCAGACAATACACTGTAATACAACTGTAATACAAGCCTCACTGAACATGTAACGAGTAAAATATTGCTGAAAATTGATTAGTAATGCCTTACACTACTGCGTTACAGCAAAAAGTAATATTTTACAGTAATGTATTACTTTTGTAATGCGTTACTCCCAACACTGTTTATAACATCATTCAAAGGTTTACTGATGCATTATTTAACCATTCTGTGATGTAGATCCGACATAGCTGCATTGACCTTACATGAAAAAATCACAGCTCAAGTCACACTTTTATGTCCGACTGAACGTGTGAGACATGGTAAAAGTAAAAGGGTTTTACGTCTACGTGTCTTGAAGTGTCGGTTATCATGAGTTGATGTTGAGTTGAAGTATTTCTGTCATAAATCTGAAGTAAAACACTCTACATCAATAAATCAGAATATGTTTTGACATAGTTTTTTATGAGGTTTGATAATAAAGGTCATTTCAGTCTTATGTACCAGCAAGAGAGCTAAGAAAATTAGGATTTAGAGAGAGGGGGAGAGATAGAGTTCAAAAAAAGAAACGAAAAAAAAAAAGAATGTGTCTATGAGGGGCAGGAAAGAAAGACAGAGAGAAAGTCTTCAGCTGAAATACTACCCTCCAAGTGGGAGGGCAAACCTGTTCTTACATGAGCTCTCTATATGTCTCTCTCTAACACATACATTCACACCCACACATTCCATCTCACTCACATTTACATTCACAAATTCTCCCGCTCTGTCACAACCTCACACAGAGACAGAGAGGAAGATAAAAAGAAAGATATAAACAGACACTTCGCATTCCAACAACGCAATCATTTTTCAGAATAAATGCTGTCTTTGTGTTTTTGACAATCATGGGCTCACTGCCTCGTTAAGCTTCACCGTTCAAACTTGTTCTCTCTATGGGTGCGTATACTACAAGTGTTTAACCACCAACGGAATCCAGAACAATGTGTTTTGTGACAAGTCAAGACATTTGGCATAATGATGCGTTCACTGGCATTAATCTGATAATGGGACCATTGTGGACCAATGTGTTTACTAAATAATGGGTGTAAATCTAAAATATACATTTAATTTTAATTTACATTATTATTAAAACAGTGGCATCTAAAATGAGCCGGATGAAGAGAAAATGTTAACGTACACCTTTATTTGTTAGTTGTTGTTTTTGTCTTGTTTTTTTGGAGATACAATCTATATTATGCATGCAAAATACACTTTTTCAACATAAAACAAAACCAAGGAAACTAAAAACTAGATCTTCAATACTTACAGAACTCTGAGGTTCCTCAGTCCCGCGAAATCTGCTTTAGTGATTTTAGTCAGATTGTTTGCATTCAGGTCACTGTGAAAAGAAGAGAGGGTGTAAAACTCTGAATAATGACTTAAGTACGGAGGCCTAATTAGGAAGTCTAATTTAGCCCATTAAGTGGTAAATGATGCTATGAATTTTTTTTTTCCTAGTCATTTCATTACACTGGCCTTGGCTACAATAAATTTCACATGTTCAGCATGCTGGGTAGCTTAAATTATCTGCATCATCATTATACACCATCATTTGATGTGTTTTATCATTGGTGAAATATGTGCTAAACCGTGGATGGGTTCTTCTGGTGAGTTCTTAACGTTGGTGTCACAGCCTTTCAAATCTACTTTTCTATATGACATGTAGTTAACCAGAGCCAACTAAACACATAATTTTAAACAAAGAAAAATATTGGACAGGACAGGAATGATTGAAATTCTAATAATTAAGAAAAAGTCAGGATTTGAACTGAATCTTTTGGTGATTCAACTGCTCTCAAAGCAGTCTCAAAGCAGAGCAGGTTGTGATTAAACTTCATGCCAGTTAAATTAATGGATCCCACTTCAGAAAGACAGTCAATGACAGATAGAGACATGCGTGAGTTGAATAGAAAAGGACACTCTGGTTTTGTTCTGATGACTCAAAAAGTATGTAGGCTAAGTAATAGACTAATTTGAATATATAATTGGTTTGGATTATTATAATACAAATAATTAACAACAGTGTGACATACACTAATAAATAATATTATATATTACGTATAATTAACAAATAGTAGCCACTAGGCCTATATAATGATTTTTGGTGGTGCATAATGCTGTATGCATGTTGAATTACAAGAGATAATAATTATAAATCGTTTTAATCATTTTGTGGACCTAATTTATAACAAATGTAAACTGTTATAACTATAGTAAAGTCATTGTATTATCATTGTACTTGTGTTAATGTAAAGGGTGTTTCGGCGCACTCACAGTCGCTCTGCGTTGCGCGGAATGTTCCGCGGCACGCTCTGCAGACTCTGCCCGTGGCAGTCCACCGCTGTCCCGCTGCAGGAGCACTGAGACGGGCACGGCTGAGCCCCAGCCCCGCCGAGCAATGCACAGAGCACCACTGCTTCCAGGACAAACATAACTGCTGTTTCCCCAAGTTCCGATAAAACACACGAAATTATTGGTGTAAAACAGTTCCACCAAAGCAGGCGCAGGAGTTTTAAATCCAAAAAGAAGAGGAGTCACAACAAATGATCTTTGAGAGAGAGAGGGGGGAAAAGCACTTGTAATCTCCTCCGACTGGAATGTTTTCCCCTTTTTCTTTACAAAGGGAAATAAATAGCAATTCAATACAGATCAGCTCCCATCTGGGGTCTACGTAGTCTCTTCTGTACAGGGACGCGAGTTTAGAGTCTAGATTCTGACGATTCCGCCGCAAACCAAAGTTTAAACTAATCCCGCACGCGCATTGTCGCTCTGCGTTTGTTTCGTGGCTCCAAAAACACCTTATGCGCACAATAACGCCAGACACGCGCTTGGAAACACGCACTTGAAAAGCCACCTGGTGATAGAGATGCGGTCATACACATCCAGCGGAGCTGATCTTCACGTGCGCTTAGAGGGTATTGATTAATTATGTGTATTGATCTCGCGCGCCCTCATGCATCCATCATCTTGTCACACAGGGACAAATCTGCATTATAAATCCAACTCGGTGCTGGGTAAAGTCCTGGATGATCTTCGCTGATCTGCCTTTACTCGAATACTCAACGGAAGTCTGTGTCTCTCTGGCACCTGATGGTGCGAGCGCGCGTGTGTGTAACGTTATGTGTGTTCAGAGCAAAGGCGGCGCCTGTAGTGTGGAAATAAGCCCCGCACACCGATAATACTCGATAAAGGAGTCAAATACAATTCCTCGATCCAACACGGGTACCGAGTCTTGCAGGGAGACAGTCAAACCCGCCCTTCAAGTTTACAGTACTGAGCCATCTCAGTCATTAGGACTTTAAGAATCATAATCATACAGTGTTTTTGTAGTGATCATGAAGTTGCAGTCTAAATAGGCATGAAATAATGTAATAGTTAATCAAATCATTTCCATGCATGCACCAGTGCAGTGAATGAACTCCTGTGTTTTGATTTCCTTCGTTCTCACGCTCGGATTAAAGTTGTTTTTGGTGACGTGCGGCTCGCGGACAGGGGATTCTCATTCTCTCTCTCTCTCTCTCTCTCTCGACTAACATGGAATTGCTCTATATTCACCGGGAGCGGCTCCACCCCTCGATCCACCCCGCTGGTCGCATGAGCCCGAGCCGTCTGCCTTCTACGGCACTGACGCTCAAGGGACATGAACAGCTACGGTATCCCGAGCAGTCTAAAGACGGTAGCCGATGCGCAAGTGACGCACAGAGAGCTAACAAGTGAGGCAGCATCTGTTTCTCTGTCGCACACACTCTGTTTTGCTTGTGAATGAAGTAAATGAATGGTTGGGTGTTTAGTAATGGCAGTGAAAGTGTTGAAACCATCTGAAACAATCAAAGCTGCAAGGAGATTACAGATGAATATCTACAGATCTGAATCCAGATTCCAGTTAACAACAACGGGAACCAAAACCAGAGAGAGGTGGAGAGTTTTGCCTGGGAGACAGAATCAAAAGATGAATGACCTCATTCACCTTCTCAGTATGCACCTGCAGGGTAGGGAGAGGTCAAGGGTCAATTGCAGCTCCTGTGACCACACGCATGCACGCACATACACACACACACAAATCTAAAAATATGTTTTGACCATTTATTTATTAATTCTATACACAGAATGTTTTAAATGTATAAATGTTCCATAATGTATTCCTTACTATTTATTATTAATTTGAATACCAACCTACAACTCTTCCCTTACACAATCTATCTGTCAAGATGCTGTTTCACATGTTCACACTTACATATATTTAGAGTGGATAAGATTTAAAGGGCACCTATTATGGAAAATTCACTTTTACATGGTGTTTGAACATAAATGTGTGTTGGCAGTGTGTGAGCAAAACCACCCTAGAATGATAAAAATCCACCCAGTGGTTTTTAATCTCAATAAATCATATGCACTGCCTCAGAACGAGCTGTTCTGAGATTCAGGTCTTTGTGACGTAGAAAGGGAGACAGGGGTTTGATTGACAGTGTGGCTGTGGCCTAGACCCCGCCCTCGGTGATCTGTACACATCATCCTCCATTGTTTCAACGAAGACAGTCAGCCGGTAATGTCTCTTGGAAACATAAGTGTTCTGTCGTGGACTCGTGGGTTAATCCTGTTGTTGTAGCTTAAAAGTTAATCCTCAACTGTGGATCGTCATCTACTGTTTGCGATCCACCGTCACAGTAACAGTAAGTGTGTTTTATGATTTTTGAGCAAATAGTCTTTTCAGTCAATGTCAGCCAATTCAACAACAAATGCGTCTAAAGTTGTTGTCGTCGTAGGATGTCTGTGTAGGCTATATAATTTAAACCTTGTATAGTGCGTAACCACACGTTTATATTTAAAGATATTGTATTAAAAACTGCATATATGTTGTTGTTCTGTATGTTAGCCATCTCCTCACATTTGCCACAGAAGCACCCGTATGACAAGTAAACATGACGCCACAGGTCCCCGTCCCTCGCATAAATGTAATTTCGCTTGTACGTAGCAAACTTTATCACAGTATGTGTATGTAATTTCAAAAAAATTGCGCCAGCATTAGTGTTTATGTGTGTCTGTGTGTGTGTGTTGCACATGCCCATCATTTCAAAGGGAACACGATTACAAAGCTAAAGTACATAAATGTATCAAATAACCATACCGAGACGTACTGGTCCATTCTCATTTATGTTTATTCTGCCGGAGTCTCTTCGTACTATTTATATATTCCGATTCAAACGTACGCTGAATGAAATTCAAAACAGCGCGTCTCTCACTCTCTTAGCCCTTCTGCTTACCGACTGCCATAGGTATCAAGTTACGCCCTCATCCAAAGGCAGGGCGGGGATATGCAGCTCATTTGCATTTAAAGCCGTATACCTCCGAAACAGGTCATTTTTAAGCAGGCCCCAAAATGACATTTTCAAATGGTTATAATAAATTAACTGTGGGGTATTTTGAGCTGAAACTTCACAAATACATTCTAGGGACACCAGAGACCAATTTTACATCTTGTAAAAAGGGGCATAATAGGTGCCCTTTAATGCGTATTTGGCGTGCTGTCCGGAGGGAGGGTTCCGAGCTTGGAGTTTGGCCCGAACCCACTGTACTCCCCCTTTTGTGAGTGTTTAGGACTGGAAGTGTGGAGAAGGGGCGGTGGATACTGCTAAACTATCAATGGAGTGAGTTGAGATTGCTGAATATACTTGATTTGCTGAGTGTACTCCACTCGTGTTAATTAAGTGAACGTGCTCCTCCCGAACTTTTTTGATAAAACATCATTAAGTAGCAATGTGAGATGCTGAGGTTGAGTAAGATTACTGAGCTATATTAAGTAATGTTAGGTATTGTGGTAGGTTGAAGGGTAAAGTTTATTGATCTGTAGGATAAGTGAGACATACTAATGTGAGGTAGGATAGATTCATAGTTGAAGATATAGAGAAACGGCCAAAACGCATTAAAACACTTCAGTTTTTTGTTGAAAACGGTATCATGTAACCGGACCCTTAAATATACACAAAATAATGAACTAAAACAACAAGCAGGGGTGATGATTAAATGAACTATCATAGTAACAAATGAGAGATGGAAACCAAAAGTCCAAGACAGTTAAACTTAATGTCTCTGACATTACACCCCCCTGAGACCGATCAGAGGCTGACTTGAAGCAAATTTTGTCCGACTTGGGGTGCTTCTCATTTCTTATTTGTGCATCCTCCGTTCCCTTTCCTCGCTTCCTTCCCTTGCGTCCTACAGGGGGTGGATCTGAGATGCGAGGGCAGGAAGCGAGAAAAGGGAACGAGGATGCACAAATAAGAAATGAGAAGCACCCCAAGTCGGACAAAATTTGCTTCAAGTCAGCCTCTGATCGGTCTGCCCCCGTCTGCACCATGGGGAGTAACCATGGGGATGGATGACGAAGACGTCGATGGGGAAGGAGCCCGGGACGTACTGTAGACTGGCGGTGCTTCTCAATTCTTATTGGTGCGTCCTCGTTTCCTTTTCTCGTTCCCTTTCCTCGCATCTCAGCTCCACCCCCTGCAGGATTTGAGGGAAGGCTGCAAGGAAAGAAAATGAGGATGGAGGAATCGAATGAATGTTTTTTTTATGTCCTTCAAGATGGCTGAGCTTGATTGGTTTCCGGGGCATATGGAGGACAGAGGATCGAGGAGATGAGGAGGGATATTGAGAAGCACTCAGAGTGTAGATGGAACTGTGCGTCATCAAAGGCCACGATGACCCCCCGAGGTGAAACGGCCGATACTAGAATATATTGATTCTATCGCTTATTTATATTACCTTCATATATGTATATATTCATACAAACGGCTGGTAGGGACTACACAACATTCCTCCCGGGTTAGTGACATCACCAACCCTAAAATGTTCATAAACCCTGCCCCCGGTAACACGCAGTCCATGTTGAGAAGATGAAGAGTGGTTGTATAAGAGTACATTTGTGAGTCAGCTCAAACTTTAGCATCTATTTTTTTAACAATGCAATAAAAAGTCACTCTGTGTCCATCTCAAAACAGTTCCTAATATATGAGCGATTTATAGATTACATGACATAAAATCTTAATTGAAGATAGCTAACTCCACATCAGCAACATAAATTCATCAACTAACCATTCCGAGACGTCCTGTTGTATTCTACATGCTGTCGCTTCTTCTTGAGTCTCTCCATCTTTGACTGACTCCGTTTTAACTTTAAAATAGCAACAGCGCCGGGATCCACCAACAAAGTTACTTGCGCTTTGCTCTTTGACACTTGCGTAAGGGCCCAAAATAGGGCCCAAAGAGAGAACAGTTTCTGTCATTTTAGTGTGTCTGCATGAGTAAATCGTAGCTGCTAACACACACAAGCTCTTGAAACCCCGCCCTCTGCAGCAGCTCTTTTACATTTAAAGGGCCAGGCACAAAACAGTGCGTTTTTGCAAACTCTCAAAAAGTGACAGATTTAACATGCTATGTACACAATAATTTTTCAATGCACACAAAAGGCCTATTTCTCTCAAATATTGTTCATAAATCTGTCTAAATCTGTGTTAGTGAGCACTTCTCCTTTGCCGAGATAATCCATCCACCTCACATGTGTGACATATCAAGAAAGACAGAATGATTATTGAACAGGTGTGCTTTAGGCTGGCCTCAATAAAAGGCCACTCTAAAATATGCAGTAAAAACATGACACAAATGTGTACTACTGTATCTTCTGCAGGTCAGGTGAAGTACAAAGCAGTCTGAGAGATATTAAGTAATGTGAGGTAACTAAGTAAAGATGGGTAGAACAAGCTTACTGACGTGTAGTGTGATATTTTAGCTCAGTTAAACACAACGACAGGTATGATGACAGGTGAATCTACTATAATTACCACTGAACACTAGAAATGTGTTAGTGAGCGCTTATGTGTGTGCTTGAGGAAGAGGAAGAGTAAGCAACCAAGTAACCGTGAGTGAGTTTACAGCCTGTGTTTGTTGTAATTTACAGTTGTTTAGACTGGAGTAAACACATTTCCAGATGGACGTTAGTCTGCACACCATCCCTCTCTGTGAGTGTGAGACTATAAACCAGACCACATGGTAAAGGACTAAACGTTCCTTTACGAATATGTGCCGTGTACCTCGAGTCAGCTGTATGACCAAGCCTATTGCATAAGATACTTTGGTCAAAATGGCACTTGTCATGGTTTTTCGGCAGATCAATATAAATATTCTTTTACACTTTTATTGTGTCTTTAAGGGCATCTGTTAATTCAAAATTCAGTATTCTAGCTACGGTGCTATACCAGCATCAATTGTTGAT